GCGGGGAAAACTATGGGTGCCACTTTCAGCTCCTTGGAGAAAACACGGGATATAAATGTGAATAAATAGTTTAATTTATCATTATTATGAATATTACGGCCATACTCTCAGTCTCCTTTCTCTGCATCCCTGTCCTGTCAGAAGATTATGTACGGATCTGAGTTGAATGACAATTTCCAATTTCCTAAAGTGTAGCTATGATGGTCTGTTGCAGCAAAATTAACAAAAAGCCTTGTAGCATCTTAAGGACTTGAAGGGCTTTGTGTGCTGAGGCAGCATATTGAAGCTCCAACAACAAAACAAAAGGAAGCATGCCCCAAGATGGCAGCATAGTCTTAAAACAACAACACCCAATGTCTAATGCTAATTATGCAACTCACGAGACTTAAAAAAAAATGTTTAGTGGTATGACAAGCAAGTTAATTCCTGGCAGCCCAATTATTCTGTTTACTCCAGGCACTGTGTGTCAATATGCACATGCATCTAGGTGTGTGCATGCATGTGCACACATGAGCCTTGGAGAAAAAGAAAGAAAGCAAAAGAAAACAGGGCACAAGAACAGGCTGGCAGTGCGCACAGGCTGTATGCAGTGTAAAAATAATATAAAATTGTGCAATCTTGCAGAGCGGACAGAACCCCAGCCCTCTGGATTTATTTTTCAATAGGGTAGAAGCTCTTTTTTCTGTCCCTGTGGATTGGCATTAAGAGTTCTCTGGAGATGTTCAGTTTTGCCCAGGGGTCTCAGGGCAGTTCACATAATAAAATCAAGATATAAAACCACAAAATACATAATAAAAATTAAAACAAGTTATAGCATAAGGCTTCTCCCCAATAATCCTAAGAACCGTACTTTCCCCTTCACAAAGCTATAGTTCCCAGCACCCTTAAGTAACTATAGTTGCCCAGATTCTTTGGGGAAGTCATGTGCTTTAAATGTGTGCTGTGCGCCCAGTCGCAGAGATCATGGCAACAAGCTGAGAGCAAGCTGTTAAGAGCTGGAGAGAAGCTCCAGTTCACATACCTGGCAATAACTAGAGCAAGCCAAACGCTGTTTGGAGAAGTAGTCTCTTCATGTGAGAGGAGCAGAGAATAATCCCATCAATGAACAATTGTTCCAGGCCAAGAAGCGCATGAAGTGGCCCTTTGTCATGAGCGTTTCCTGTTGTTGCGCAGCAGGCTGGGGTTTGTGTATGTTGACCGCTAGTCAGCCGCTGAGAGAAGGTGACCGGGCTCAGAACGATCCATGATGCAATTGAAAGCAGGAGGCAGCTCGGGAGTCATAACATTTGTTCACAGATCTGCCAGGGGTGTTAATAAGCCAGGATTCAGCGCTGGCATCTGTTCTGTGATGCTATGGCTTCTTAAAACATGCCAAGACACAACATTGGAAACTGCCTTCTAGCAAGTCAGGTCATCATCATCTGAGTACAGAAGAGCCTTGCGGAATCAGGCCAATGGCCCATCTAGTCTCCCAATGGGTCTCCAGGTGCTTATGAGAAGCCCCCCAAGCAGGACCCATGAGCAAAAGCACTCTCCCTTCCTGTGGTTTCTAGCTCCTAGCATTTGGAAGCATACAGACTCCAACCATGGAGGCAGAGCACAGCCATCATAGCTAGTAGCCATGGATAGCCCTATCCCACCCCCAAATTTGTCGAATCCTCTTTTAAAGGCAACCCACTTGGCGGCCGTTGCTGCCTCCCGTGGAAGCCAATTCCATAGTCTATAACTATGTGCTGTGTGACTACTTTGTAAAATCTGCCCTGAACATATCCACGTTCAGCTTCATTGGAAATCCACGAGTTCTAAAGTTACAAAGAGGTGCTCACCATGAACGCCTCCCTCGTTCTCTTGGAATGGGGCCCACCTGAGAGGTGCCAGAACTGGGTTTTATTTTTTTGTTTAAAGAAGCAGTTTTGCAAGCCATGTGAAACACCTCTCTCTCTCCCTGAAATCCTGAGGTGGGCTAGATAGAGAAACGGTCTCATCTGACAGAGGGAAGATGCCATATATCAAAGTAAAATATGACAAAAGTTGGAAGTTACAGTGGTACCTTGGGTTAAGTACTTAATTCGTTCCAGAGGTCCGTTCTTAACATGAAACTGTTCTTAACCTGAAGCACCACTTTAGCTAATGGGGCCTCCTGCTGCCACCGCGCCACCGGAGCACGATTTCTGTTCTCATCCTGAAGCAAAGTTCTTAACCTGAGGTACTATTTCTGGGTTAGCGGAGTCTGTAACCTGAAACGAGGTACCACTGTATTTCCTCCCCCCCCTCTCTCACACACAAACAAAAACAGTGTCTCCTCTGCAACAACTGTACATTTCCTGAAAATGTGAATATATCCCTTGTGGTGTTTGTTTTCCAATTCCTCTTTCAGGTGTTGTTTATCTGTAGGTATTAAGAGGTCCAACTGCTCATTACCAAAGAGATCCTTGCTACTTCTTCTTGACAGCCCATTTTGCACTTTTCGCTGTGCCCTGTACACAGGGTCACGTAATACTTTACATCTAGGAACCAATAATTATTTCTTTGTTGCCTCCTATCCAAACCTTGAGTCGTCCCAGAGCTGCTTACTTTCAAGAACTTTGCATCACATTCCTGCAGACCATCCTTCCCCTATTAGGTGCCCTCCAGAAGTTTGGGGCAGCATCAGGTTGGAGAAAGTTGCTTCAGTCATAGCCTGAGACCAAGCTGTTGTTTTACAGCTCCAGTGTAAGCATGTAATAGGGTAACTGTACCAGAACAATAATTATTGATTGCATTTATATGCGATCAGGCAGAATGCCTTCTTGGTAGTGGCACCCTCCCTGTGGAACGCCCTCCCATGAGATGTCAAGGAGATAAAGAACCACACAATTTTTAGAACACATCTGAAAGCAGCCTTGTATCGCGAAGTTTTTAATATTTGACATTTTATTAAGCTTTTATGTGTGTTGGAAGCCGCCCAGAGTGGCCGGGACAACCCAGGAGATGGGCTGGTTACAAATAATAATAATAGAAATAATTTTATTATTACCACACTTTTTCCTCTAAGGAGCTCAAGGTGGCGTACATCCTTTTCACCCCCCCTCATTTAATCCCCACAATAACCTTATGAGGTAGGTTAGGCTGGGAGGCGATGACGGACCCGAAGCGGGAATTTGAACACTGGTCTCCTAGGTCCTAACCTGACACTCTAACCGCTACGTAAAGGTAAAGGTACCCCTGACCGCTAGGTCCAGTCACGGACGACTCTGGGGTTGTGGCGCTCATCTCGCTTTATTGGCCGAGGGAGCCGGCATACAGCTTCCGGGTCGTGTGGCCACCATGACTAAGCCGCTTCTGGCGAAGCAGAGCAGCGCACGGGAACGCTACATAACACTGGCCAATATCGGGAGCCAATAGCTTTTTGTACTGGAACTTCCAGGAAAACTGTTTTATCTCCTGCTTGACTGCAGACCTATCCACTTTTAAAGCAACACAAACTTGTATTGTTTAATCACAGGTACACTGCGTAAAATCAGCAGTTTTGAACTATACATTAGAAGCTGTGTTCATTTTCATATGTTGCTTCATCTTTTTGACACAGCTGTTTTTATTTTAATAAATGCTAGGCGTTTTAACATCTGCTTTCATTGGCTATTTTATGCAACCACTTGGAGCTTTTCATCAATAAATTATATACATTTCACACATATAGCTGTGCTGGCCCACAGGAGAGGGAGGTGGATCCAAAATCTTGAGTTTTTGTGAGGTTAATGTGGAGAGGGGCAGAAAGCCACCTTAAGCACCTCAGAGGGAAGGAGGGATATAAATGGAATTAAAACTATGCTCCTAGGAAAATACTTCATCAGAGGTCACCACTAGAATTTGCATAAGAGACACATGGGGTGTCCAGTTTTTGAGAAGTTGCAATAAGATCGAATTTTACAAGCATGGCAAAATGGCAGCACAGACAGGGGTACAGACAGGTCAGGAGAAATTTTTAATTTGCTGTTTAATGTGGAGGACCTAAAATCTACCCTGTTTCGCTCTGCCCTGAATTCTACATCTCTGCCCCATCTGCTTCTCTGGAAGCCCTTCACCGCAAAGTATTAAGGCAGCCAGTTAACAAGGGCTTTGTAATCCAGGGCATACAGACACACAGGAATCAGCAAAACTGCCAAGGTAAGCAAGTCAACTCACTAAACCATTATCACAGGAAGAAACAAAAATGCTAAATTTAATCAACAATTACCATAAGTGGGTTTTTTGGGGGGCAGGTGGTACAACAGTAGGAATAAAGAACCGGCGCTGGATTGAGTTACTAATTGTGTACATTTGCAAACCAGGCAGGAAAGCAGTTAACTGCTAGTTTATCTCCGTTTCCCTTTTACTCGAGGCACACCAACAAAACCTAAATTTAGTCTGGCCGCAAACGCCAAAATGTTGTTGACTCATCTTATTTAGATCAGAGAGACTACCCTGCCAGTTCTATATAGAAGACACACATTTGAAGCTGACAGCGGGAGGTATAAAGGTAATTTCAAAAGGCATCTTTAATATAACCCTCCCCCCCTTGCAACTCATGTGAAGTCATTGAATGTACTGGAAGCTGCCTTATACAAAGCCAGGGCACTAGTCCACTGAGCCCAGCATTGTGTACACGGACTGGCAGCAGCTCTCCAGGCCAGCAGGCAGAGGTTCTTCCCAGCACCTGCTCCTTGGAGATCCTTCTTTCATGGGATCTGCCGTAACTGAACCTAGGATTTTCTGCGTGCAAGTGAGGTGCTGAGCAAACAGTCCCTCCTCTTGTTTCCAGACAAGCAAGAAACTCTCGCTTAGCTTTGCACATGTGCTGGTTGTCGGTTTCGTAGAGAAAACGGGACTACTTATGTGTCCAAGAGAGACATAAGCTCACCCAAGTCACTTTTTAGAAAAAAAGACAGGAAACCCAGAGACTTTCAACCCCTTCCAGGACCCACGCTGCATTTTCTAAACGGAGATTTAAAAAGCAAGAGGCACGACCCAAACAAAACAGGTTCAATGTTGAGGTTTTAGCTTTTATTTTGGAAAAAAAAATCACCTGTACATTCTCACTTCATCGATCAACAATGATGTGCTACTGTGTGCTTCCGACAAGAGGGGACAGTAGAAGCTCCAGAGGCCTGCCAACCTGAGCAGCAAACTTTCCAAAAGCCTTTGGAAACGAGACCGAGAAAGGAAACAAGCCGCTCAGCCGCAAACTTATTTTCCTCTTTTCCGAGAAACACAATTAAGAACTAAGAATTTACATTTGAGCCCCAGCGGGGAGGGAGAGAGATAGATAGATAGGGTGCTCGTTTTTGTTTTTTTCAGCCTTTCTCTCAGTTACTGATAGCAGAACAAAAACCCCATGGAAGTGTTGGAGGGGCATGCATTCCCCAGCCTTTATCGTTAGCCCTTCCCAATAATCTCAGAAGGCAAATAAATCCGAGCCCTTCCAAATAAATACGGACTAGAAACACACAAGTGATAAATAAGATTTTTTTTTAAAAAAAAGAATCAGTAATATACACAATTACAAGGATTTTATTTGGTTTCAGAGGCAGAGAAAGAAGAGCTCCGATGGCATCTTAAAAGCCCGTGTTTGTAGTAGCTGGAAAAGGAAGTCAAAGGATCTTATAACCGATTGGTTAATCCCACTCTCCCCTGCACCGAACCCCAAAATGTCATCCGCTGAAGTTTCGCTTTAAAAACAAAACAAAAACCCGATGGAAGTAAAAAAAGAACACAGAACAAAACACAACCTGAGAGCACTGATCTCTTCAAGTCAAGGAGAGAGACTGGTTGCTAATTCCACAGTACTGAGGAGCAATAAAGAGATTGAGGCTTACAAAGAAGAGCAAGCCATTTATTTATTTTTTACCTCCTGCCCACTCTTTCAGTGAAAGAATGGCTTAAAAATAAAAACCAGACACTGAATGTAGAGGGGCTTGCTAGACTTTCTTGACAAAGCCAACAGCGGAGTGGATTCTCAGCAACTTGCCCCCCCCCCTTGTAGTCCAAACTCAAGACGGTAGTTGTTTTTTGCAGGGTGGGGGGAGAGAGAAGGCCATGCAGGTGAAAAAAAAGGCCATTTTGTTTTTCTTGAAATTCTGTAGCTGCCATAGGCACAACCCGAGGACACGGCTCCATCTCTGCGCCGTCTCGTCTGCAAAAAACAACAACACAGACACCTTTCCGATTCCTCCCCCCTCCCCCTACACAAGAGGAGCACTACAGTGCAAAGCAAAAAAGAGGGTGGGGTGGGGAGCCTCCAAATGATTGTCCATTGTTATTTCCAGGAGGTGGGGGCAAGGGCGACCTGGGAAAGCCTGTAGATCTGTGCAGGGGGAAGATCAGGAAGTAGGGGTGTGTGGTGGTGGTGATCAAGCCACAAAGAGAAGCGCCAGCTCCCACAGCAGAGCCACCTCAACAGCTGATGGCGCTGGTCTGCTGTTTGCTGACAAAGTCCGAGATGAAGTCAAACTCGTTCTGTCCCAGAAAGAGTTCGGGCAGCTCCTGAACCCGGTCCAAGCCGAGCTCCATGACCAGAGACGTCAAGACCTCTTCGTCGATGGGATCCGTGTCCATAACGTTCAAGGTCAGGGCCGGAGAGGGCAGGTGCTGCATCCCCAGGTGCTGCCCGGGTCCCATCCTGTATTGCGGCACCCCTGCCCCGATGGGCCCGTTGCTCATGCCCATGAGGGGGTGGCCCTGGTATTGCGTGTTCAGTTTCTGCAAGTGCATGCTAGCCATGAGCTGCTGAGTGCCCACCGGTCCCAAGTATTGTTGCTGTTGTTGTTGTTGCTGTTGTTGTTGCTGTTGCTGGTGTTGTTGTTGTTGTTGTTGCTGCTGGCTCGGATTGCTGAACATCATGGCGCCTGGGACCTGGTGGTGCCCCATCTGTCCATTGATGCTGGGCCTCTGCCTCATGCCTCCGTCCAGGGCAGGGCCTCCGTACTGCATCATCTGGTGGTTGGCGGGGAGCGTCCTTAGCACGTGCTGCTGCTGAGGAGGAGGGCCTTGCATCCCGTTCATGCCTATCCGGTAGCCCTGCATCCCGTTCACCCCGTGGCTCATTGACATCATCATGTGGTCAGCCATCGCAAGCTGGGCACTGGAAGACAAAAGGAGGAGGGTCATGTACAAGGCAGCACAGGGTCCCGTCCCCCCAAAAAACCATGCAGTGTTTGAAATTAGCCAGGCGCATTTTGCACCCTGGCGATCAACCGCTTGCGACCAAGTGAAGATGCTTGGAGCCAGGACAGCGCCTGGTATCTCCGACACCTGGAAAGGTGCATGCCTGGGGATCATTGGACCACACGCTAACAGCACAGGATTCTCTCAGTTGTTATCTTTTAAACCTGCCCAACCAGAATGAATTTCAAGAACCCCAAACGCTTTTTCTGTGCAGCCTGAGCAGCAGCAGCAGTCGCCATTAAGAAAAAGAGGTTGGAATAGGCTGATATATACGTGGACTATCCCTGAATCAAGTGATTTTTCTTCTTCAAGTTCTCCAAATTATTAACTAGCTCAAGGTTGTCCTCTGAACTAGCCAGATGTTCAACTGAGAATCAATCGCAGTCAGTCCATCATTTGAAAATTAGGACTTTAGAGCCTCCTCCCCCAAAATGGCGACTAGACATTCTGTTTTGGCAACTGTACCTGTGGTTTAAGGGGCCATTTGGCGCCTAGTTTATATACCCAAGTTTCTAACACTGCTGCCACGACATATGCAAGCCTGCTCCTGGGATAGCAACACATGAGTCTAGAGCGGGGTGGTCAAGGCCTTTTTTGGCAGCCCCCAGCCTTGGTGCCTCCTTCCCAAAGTTGGTAAGCAAGGAAGTGGGCTTGGGGAAGACAGTGTGAGGCTCTGAGTCCCAGAGTATTCCCGTCTCCACATTTGGGAAGGAGGTGGGACCCTGCCAGAACCTCGCACCTTCTTGCCAAAGCCCGGCACCTCACTTACTTGGCTTTGGGAAGGCAGCATGGGGAGGGGGTTGTCGTCAAATTTTTGCCTCGCTTCCCCTGCCTGAGCGAAGTACTCTTGCAGCCACTTGGAGTGAAAAGTTGGGCTGCCCCATTCTAGAGGGTACAGGGCTCCCAAGTGCTCCCTTCCCCTGCTCCAGAAGTTATATTTTGCATACATCTTTTCAACAAGGCATTTCATAGTGACTGACACACACACACACACACACACACACACACACACGGCTTCTGCACCATTCATCCTCTCAACCACCCTGCAAGGTAGGTTAGGCCAAGAACTCAGCGGAGAAGCAAACCTGGTCTGCGAGTTAACAGGTGCACATTGTTTCCCTAAAACAGTGTTTCCTAAACTTGGGTCGCTAGCCGTTTCCCCTCGAACTACAATTCCCATCATCCATGATCACTGGTCTTACTATCTCGGGATGATGGGAGTTGTAGTCCAAAAACAGATGGAGACTCAAGTTTGGGAAACACTGTTCTAAAGCCAGGGTGGAAAATGTGTGGCCCTCCCTGTATTCCTGCCCCCAAATTCTCATCAGCCTCCGTCAGAATGGCCCAATGGCTGGGGCGATGGGAGCATTAAGTGTGGCAACATCCGGCTGGACCCAGGTTGTGCCCATCATGGCTAGGGCAACGGCCTAGAGCCAATGCACTGAAGGAAACTGTGCTTTGTGTGTGTGCGCCTGCACATATAGAATTACAACCTCTCTCTTATCTACAGTGGCAGATGGCAGGGACTCCCCCTTCCCTAACAGGTCATGTGGTAGAGAGGCTTTGGGGGTGGAGGAAAAGTTTGTAGTGGGAGGCAACTAGAGTATCCACTAAGGCAGCACTGTCCAACAGCCGCGGTCAGCTGAGAAGGGGACACACATCCAAGGACACAAGAGACCACAAAGCCCTTCCTGGGCCAGGACAAATGCAACAGCCCATTTGTCACAACAGCCAACCCAATGCCTCCAAAAGGCTGTTTAACATAACCCTCTCCTTGTTGCTGCTGCTCCCAAGGAACTGGCAATTCCGAGATACATTGCCTCTGAACATGGAGGTTCCATATGGGCCGGAGTGGGGAACTGCAACATGTTGTAGCGTACGGTCGCCACCCAACAAATAGTCCCATCCTGGGCACCACAGTCACCCTGGAGCAAAGGTTATGTAGTTCTGCCTAGGCCTCCCAGGGGGAGGAAAAGGAAAAGAATGGCTTTTCCCCCGCAAGGCTATCTAGTGCTTGAGGGACAAGGTTTGGGCTGTCACCCTAAATCCTTTTGTATGTATCATGGTTCTTGAAAGTGCAATAATGGGTGCTTAAGCTCACAGCATACATCCCTTCCCCTTTCAATCCATAACTCTTAGGCTAGGGTTTTAAAATTCTGTTCTCCAAGTATGGAGAAACAAGTACCTTTATCTCTCTCCACCCGATGCCCCCCCCATTACTTCCCATCTGACATGCACTCAGCCAACAGGATCTGATTATCAGGATGCACTGCCCTATCCTAACTGACTGGCCAGGCATGCACTCATCTAATCCCCTTTTATAAACAGATCTAAGCTGGTGGCCCTCCTAACCCAAGCCGAAGCTCCATGGCGCCCCCTAGAGGAGCGACAGGGGAACGACAATGCTGCCCCCTAGCGCACGGGAGGATGAAGATCCGCCTAAGGACGCAGGAGGCTCAGTAGGCAATGAAATCAAGGTTGGTTACCTCGCCACCCTCCCCAAGTCACCGATTTGTCATTCCTGCCCAACCCCGGGACACCTTAAGCAGCTTGCAAATACGAAAGCAGGCCGCTGGCAGCGAACAGAGCATTTATGCAATGAGTTTTACATTCCGGATAAACGCAGGCGACCTTGTGCATGGAAATAAAAAGTCTGTTGCAACCTCCCCGACGCCGTCGGATCGCAGAATCCGGCCGCGGCGCTGGTAATGCGCCTCGCAGAATGCAAGCAGCAGCGCGCCCGTTCCCTAACCCGCTTCCCATGGCCAACCCCCCCTCCCCGCTTCCCTCTCTTTTTCTCTCTCTCCTCCTCCTCCTCCCCTTTGCCGGCTCCAGGCAGCTCCCGCCCCGGCACATTCCGCCAGCACAAAGATCAGCACTTTGAACACAGAAGTTTAACCCCTGCCTGCCTGCTCCCGAGCAAAAGACAATGCCGCCGAAGGAGCGCTCCGCGCAAATGAGGGCTCGGGCTGGTGCTGGGCTGGAAAGGAGAAGGAAAAAGCCCGTTTTCCTGGCCACCCCGACGAACGGCAGGCAATGCAAAATATATAAAAATAATAGTTTTCAGATCGTGGCCGTCTCTGCGGAGCCTCTCGACGCCCAATGTCACCCTCCTTTCCCCGCCGTGGTTTCATCGACTCCCTCCTCGGCTACATACCCCAAAGGCGGCGATCCGAAGGGAAGGCTGCAAATGGCCCGGCTGAGAAAGTCACCTCGGCAGAAGGAGGAAAGCGGCGGCGGCTCCTCTTTCTTCCCTTCCTTACACGCGGCTGCTATTCCCACGAGCGAGCTGGCCAGCCTGCCCGCCGCGCTTGCAAAGGCAACCCCAGCCCGGCCGCATCAATTCCAAGCGGCGGGTCCCCCCTCCGGCGGCGGCTGCTGCTGCTCCTCCGCCTCCTCTTTCTCCGGCTCCCAGCCGAACCCTCGCAGGCGCCGCTGTGTGTATTTGCAAGTAGGTTAAACTTCAGCGTTTTTTAATATATATACATACACGCACAGAGAGAGGGAGAAACCGGAGGGGGGGCGGAGCCAAAGTCCCCGCCCCTGCGCCTCTGATTGGTCCAGCTCTCCCAAATGGCTCTTCTTCCCCCTCCCCAGCCTGGATGCTTTTTCCAAAGCGGCGAAGAGGGGGCCGAGGTGAAGAATCGCAGGGTCCCGCCTACCTGTTTTTGTTTCATCTCCGAAGAAGGAGGGATTGCAACACAATGGCGGGAGTTTGCAGCATATGCAAAGGCAGGAGGAGGAGGAAAGGACGGGTGGGGGGAAGCGCTGCCTGCCTGCCTGCCTGCCTGCCTGCCTGCCTGCTTGCTTTCTTCCATCTGTCCATCTCTCCTTCCCTCTCCAAACCGGCTCGCCTAACAACCCTCTTTGCCGGTGCTCATCTTGCACACGATGGCGTGCGCGCACGTAACGTGTGTATGCATGCAAACAAACACGAGGACAGAGGGAGAGTGGAAAGCGGGGGGGGGGCGAGGAGAGGATCCTTGCAGCCTTTGCTCTCCCCTGGGAAGCGTGAGAGGGCGCAGAGGATGGCTGCCGGCCAAGATATTGCGAGGCGCATTGTTTATTATTAACTCCCGGGCCCCGGTGGGGAGCGCATTCCTCGCCCTGACCTGCCTTTTGTTATGCAAATACAGAGGGGATGTTAATCTGCTGCCACGCGGTTGGAAAGAGGTGGCCCTTGCGAATGGCTCAATTAACCACAGGGCGCTGGACGGGGAGGAGCGGGTGGCGCAATACTGCGCGTTCCCGCTGGTCGCGCGCGCGATGCCTTCCTCCTCCTGCTGCTTAATTTCCCAAGCGTTTTCCAAGAAAAGCGAGGGAACTTTTTTGTTTTTAAGGGCATCTGAGTGACTCGTTCCCTGAATTGCTGTTTGGGTGTTTTTTTGTTTTTTTTTTGCGCACCCCACTTTGGTTTTCATTCTTACACGTCAACTCTGTTAACACCTGAAAGGATAACAAAGGAACTTCAAAGGGAGGCTGCAGTGAGAAGCTGCTGCGTGAGAACTTCTCAAGAAATTCAATTCCTTTCGTTTGGGCCTGAATACAGACAATGGTTTCCCACCTTAGATGCTGATTGACTCAGCATTTCTGAAGGTGTAAAGGGCCATTGCATATTTTGCATACAAACTCTAATTGAATTGTTCCAGCTTGCCCCCCCCCCCACATTCCAATTGCCATATAACTTCTACCATTTCCTCCTTCTATTGCTCTTGCTATGCCTATCACCAGGGCCTGCTTGTTAGAAGTGGGTCACGCCCCTACTGGTTCGTTCGATTGGACATAGTGGAAAGACACACCTACTCCTTATCTGTTCCATTGCTTGACCTTTTGGCTTCACTTTCCAAAGCCCGCCTCCAGTTTTGTGTCTCTTTGCTCAGGGCATATGTACCTGACACACTTAATCGACTACTTACTGAAGCAGCAAATGAGACTTTGGCCCACATGTTAGTGTGACAAAAACAGCCTAATTTCAGAATGGTTGCAGTATCAATGTGCTAGATCTCAAAGAGTAGGATTTTTCTCTCTTCCCTAGGGTTGGAATATCTGGAGGGGGTTTCCCTTTGGGGCAAAATCCAGGACAACATTCACCTTTCAAAAACTAGGCTAAAACCAAGGATTCTTTTGGTATTACTGTACATTTGTTTGGTTGGAGTTTGTATTCATTTGACCTTTTCATATCGCTAAGACAAAGCTAATCCTACGAATTGCATTACTAGAACATCTAGGACCAGGGTAAAACTGTTCAAAATTATTATTTTTGCTGCTGCTACTGCCAGAAGTGCAATGTTTACATTAACAATATTGAAGGGTACATTTACAATATTGAAATGTTGTTTTCTACACTGTGTTGTTTGTTGCTTTTTTGCTGCTACTACTATTTTGCTACTACTACTGTTAGGAAATTGTGCTTTACAAAATATTTCTATTGAGAAATATGGTGTAACTGAACCACTGCATTGTTTTAAGGCTCTTTAAACTGCTCCCAGACTTTGGAACTCCCTTCCTAGAGAGGCTAGACCGGCTCCTTCCTTGCTGTCCTTCTGCTGGCAGGTGAAGACTATTTTATTCTGAAAAGCTTTTGGGAACTTTTTTTTAAAGGAAAGTGCTTTGAATAGTGTTTTGCTGTTTTTACTGTCTGTATTTTAATAGTTTTGGTTTTATAATCTTTATATAGTTTACCGTATTTTTCGCTCTATAAGACGCACCAGACCATAAGACACACCTAGTTTTTGGAGGAGGAAAACAAGAAAAAAAATAAAAATTATGAATCTCAGAAGCCAGAACAGCTGCGCAGTGAAAGCAGCAATGACTTTTGCTGTTCTGGCTTCTGGGATAGCTGCGCAGCCTGCATTCGCTCCATAAGACGCACACACATTTCCCCTTACTTTTTAGGAGGGAAAAAGTGAGTCTTATAGAGCAAAAAATATGGTAGGGTAATTACTGTTACCTTACAAGAAAGGAGATTCTGACTAAACACAAGAAATAACTTTCTGACTGTAAGAGCTGTTTGATAGTGGGATGGACTCTCTCCGAAGGTGGGGACTCTCCTTTATTGGGGGATTATAAGCAGCGGTTGGGTAGCCATCAGTCATGGATGCTTTAGCTCAGTGCTGTTCAAACTTTTTTCAAAGAGGGCCAGATTTGATGACGTGAAGGGCTGTGGGGGCCGACCAAATTTGTTGACCTTTTTAGGAGTTGGAGAGTTGTTGACCTTCTTTTAGGACTGAAGTTATTGAGGGTTTTTAAAGGATTTTACCCCAGGAAATAAACAGGGGCTGGATTAAATTGATCGGCGGGCCGGATTAGGCCCCCAAAACAGACTTTGGACATGCCTGCTTTAGCTGAAATCCCTGCATTGGTTACCCTCAGTGTCCCCCCTACAGTTCTAAGATTCTATGATCCTGTATATGGTTTTCAGCTTTCTGTATGTTATCTGTGTTGTTTTAATTTCTGTAAGCTGCCTTGAGTCCTGGTGTGAGAAAAAGGCTGGTTATAAATAAACACAATAATAATGATACTTTCTTGTGGAAAGGCTGCATACAAATAAATGCAATGATGATGGTATGATTGGGAAGCACTGAGAAGTATGTCTTTCCCATCCTTGTGCAAAAGACCTCCACTTTTAGACGTGAGGCCTCCGCTTTTGGGTAGCAGCGAAATGGAGCAGATGAGAATCTTCTGTTCCTCTTTCTCAGGTATACAAAAATAGCATGTGATGTGGACCTGCTGCCACTTCCTTGGAGTTAAGTGGCTTGGGAAAGCACACACCAAATATTGACTTCAGTTCTGCTCTGTTTGGCTCAGGAACTTTGTCTTAGCAGTTGGGCTCTTCCTTCTGCTGTTTTGAGGCCTGGTGCTACACAGCACAGCATCCTTGAGCAGCTACCAGCTCCAGCGCTGTGGCACAGCCCGCTGCTGATGTCTGATTGGTGCTGGCTGGGGGGCTGGCTCTACTTCCCACAATGCACCACTGCTCTGGGGGCATTGTGGGAAATTAAAATGGCCGTCCACCACCCATTGTGGGGATGGCAGTTATCATTTATGTTTCCCATAATGCCCCTGATGTGGCATGGCTCCAGGGCATTATGGGAAATTTAGATAGCCCCTTGCTGCCTGCCATTGATGAGAATGCTGTCACCGACAGGTGAACCCACTGATGTAGAGGACCCACTTTTCCAAAGGTCTACTTCAAACTTGGAGCCAGCCTGGACTATACTTCTCATTGGGTCTCTTACCTACCTCACAAGGTTGTTGTGAGGATAAAATGGAAGGGAACCATCTTGAGGTCCATAGTGATAGGCTCAGTGAAAAATACATCAATAAATACACCACACATTTAAAACACATGGCTTAAGCCCCCAAATCCTGGGATTTGAAGTTTACCCCTCACAGAGCTACAGTTCCCAGGAGCCTTAACAAATTGGAGTTCTTGGGGGTTATGGGGGGGGAGCCACTTGATTTAAATGTGCTTTAAATATATTGTATGGATGTAACCATAGATGGTGCTTGAATTCCCCCAAAAGAATCCTGGGAACTGTCATTTGTTAAGGTTGCAGGGAATTGTAGCTTTGTGGGTGGCAAATCGCAGTTCCCAGGGCTTTTTGAGAGAAACCATGTGCTTTCTTTCAGTGTATGATGTGAACGCAGCCAATAACTGATGGATAAAAGTGGTATGTCCCTGGAAAAACAAACCACACACCTCCACCTTTTAGTTGACAGAACAGAGGGATTGGACCTGCCCTTCAAAACAAAAATGGTTAAAACAAAATTGATAGGGGATCATGGGAGAATTTCATAGGGGCTGGTGAAAATGAGAAGTCCTGATTCGATCCCTGTTCATGTTGCATACAAATAACCAATGAGGGGTCTTATCCAATTCAGCCAAAAGTGGGTGGTTTATATCCAAAATACAAAAGGTTTCATTTTATTTCTACCTCTTCTTTGCATTGTGGATTTATTCGTGGGGCAGAACAAGTTTGACTTCATCTCGGATTTTGGCACCAGGGCGGCTGGCAAAGGAAAATTGCGCAATGCAATTAGAAATGAGACACGGGCTCTGTTGTGATGAGGCAATGTGCAGAAGTGATGAAGGTTGGGAAAAATAATCCCAACTTCCCCTGTGGATGCAGAGATTGCTGGAGTCTTAATGGCTGCTACCACTCAGGGAATAGATTCTGGAGTCATTGTGGATTCACTCACTGGAAAACAAACAGCAGTGCAACGTAAACAGAAGGTTAGGAATGATTCATAGTTCAG